CATTTTTACACCGTTTTTGCATTCTTTTCAACATGGTTTATGCAGCGGGATTGTCTGGTGAGTTTTGTCTTGCGGTTCACTCCTACAGTGACATCAAAGCTGTGTTGTCTGAGGCATCACAGCCACTGCTCATTGCTTTATGATAACAATATGGTTGTTTGGATTGAAAGAAGTCCTTTACTTATAAAATATTTGGCAGTAGCCCAAGCACTTAGTTTCATTTACTTTTATTCGCGCTGGGCATTTTCTTTGGCTTTTAGCCTTTGTTGATTAATTAGTGAAAGTGAGAGAGGGATGTGCACTTGTCTCTTTGACTTTTTCCAGCATTAGGAATCCCTGGTGTTGATGTTGCTTAAAGAGTATGGGGTAGTAGATAGGCTAAAACAGCTAAGTATCTGAAAATTGTCCATAATCTCCAGCTATTCATCATATAGAACAGAGGTATCCAACCTTTTGGGCACTGGGGACCGGTTACGTGGAGAGAGGCTTTTCCGCGGACCAGAGGGTGCATGGTTTTGTGTGCTGCCTGCATCCCACGGATGGGGCTTTGCTTGTTTATGTGGCCCGGTATCGGGCCACGGACCGGGAGTTGGGGACCCCTGATATAGCACATTTAGGATAGCTCTAAAGCTCATTAAAATGAGTTCACTGTTTTAAGAAAAATAATAATAATAGCAAGGGCTGGTTCTTTCTATAGGTCTGACCATCACTCTGTAAGACATTGGTTTGACTAAACATTCCAATTTAAATCCACTATGCTCTGTTTTTTAATGGCTAAATGAATTACACTGTATCGCTAAAATAAATAATATAGTGTGATTCAGGATTTTATTTATGCAATTATTTGTTTTATACAGTTGCCCAACTCAAATTCCTGACTTTTATTCCCATTTAGTTCTTGCTGCTGCTTTGTATCACCCTCTTCCCACATTCAGTCAGTATTTCATAACTCCAGACAACATGCAGTCTATACTACTACCATTCCACTCCCAACTGACACAGTCTTTCCTAAAATACATGGAAGATACTTCTAAACATATGAAGTTTGCCAGGACATCATCCCTTTTCATATGTGACTGTATAATCAATCATACTTACCAGCTTTTATTTTTTTTAAGGAATTGCTTTGTCATCAGTGGTTAGTTCATAACGTTCCCTCAGTGATAACAGCAACTTTTCTGCCAAGACATTTAAAAAATGCAATAATCAAGATTTAAGATAAGGCAGCAATCCAAAGAAACAAGATGAACGTATGCCTGAATTTTTTTTGGTAGTTGCACACATAGAAGCTACGTTCTCAGTTTTTTTCATTCAGCATTTATTTAGGGGATTGTTTCTTTAAATATGGTCCTAGGATACTGCAGATCTCCCAAGGCTTTCTCAATGCTCCTCAAAAATCAAAATTATTTGGCAACCTACGTTGAGAAATAATGCAATATTAAAATTCTATCAAAACAATAGTGAGAAATGATAGCAGCAGCCAATGCATTGATTTTAATTTATAATATGAAAAATAGAACCCATAAGCTTTTGGGGGGGTTCTTCATAATTTGTTTATAGTGGAAAGTAGTCCTGAGAGAAAAATATTTAAGAAACGCTGATTTAGAATATCATTATTCCAGGTTCACAGAAGAAGAAGCTTATATGTTCAAAAACTCTTTAATAATTTATTTTAGGATAATAAGGAATAAACATATATTTAAAATCTGCTACGGGTTCCTAAGGGATGGATAAACACATCTTAAATTAAAATATAATAAAGAAAAAATAGAACTAATGAGCATTTGATAGCAGCACAGATGTGGATACCATTTTCAAAGACAATAACAGAAATGGCATAAGTGAAATATCTTCCTTTCTCAGATTTTTAAGAAAAGAAAATGGAAAAAATCCTCATTTCTGTTGGATATATAGTCCTCTTATAGTGATACAATATATGCCACAGTCTCTTAATTTATCCAGCAGCATCAGCAAGCAGCAGTCTCATCCATATATTGCATCCAATCTATACATTGGCCTGCATTATTGTTCCTTAGCAGAATATTCTGACATGACATGCTATACTATGTTGGGTAAAACATGTATTAGGTAATTTGCATTTTTTTCCGGCATTAGAATGAGGGTAGAACAAATATTTGGACTGTTTATGCTCTAATTTTTTTAAGACCCAGTTTGGTATAATATAGATCAGGGGTCCCCAACCCCTGGTCCGTGGATCAGCACCGGGCTGCAGCATGCCAGCAACCGGTCCGCACAAACAAGCAAAGTCCCATCCATGGGATGCAGGCAGCATACAAAACCACACACTCTCTGGTCCGTGGAAAAATCTTTCTCCACGGAACCGGTCCCTGGTGCCCAAAAGGTTGGGGACCTCTGGGAAAGATAGTCTTCAACTTATGACTACAATTGGGACCAGAATTTCAGTCGCTAACCAATGCAGTTGTGAAGCAAATCATCACATGATGGGACCCAATTTTACAACCATTTTTACCATAGTCATTAAGTGTATCACCACAATCATTAAGTTAAATCCAGCTTTGCCAATTGACTTCGCCTGTCAGAAGCCAACTGGGAAGGTCATAAATCACAACTAGGTGACCATAAGATGCTACAACTCTCATAAATGTGAGTTAGTTGCCAAGTGCCCAGATTGCAATCATATGACTGTGGGAGCGGTGTCATGGACATAACTTTGAGGACAGCTTGCAAGTAACTTTCATTGAGGACATTGTAAGTTCAAACTGTCATTAAATGAATAGTTGTAAGTTGAGGACTACCTATACTTAAGACATCAGGGTAGAAACCAGGACACTGGTGCAGTGTGCAGACATGCAGAAGGGAAGGAGTCTTTTCCGAGGAGCTAAAAGACAAAGCAGTCTGGAATGCTTGATATCTAGGAAGAGGCCCAATGTGGACCTACCCTAACCCTTTCAATCTAATAGTTAATAGTTAATGCAGGTTACCCTTTCGTCTGGCAAGATTCCTGTCTATGGGCAAGCAGCAATAAAGAAATTCATCCGAGTAAATCACCTTGTCATTTTTGGTTTCTCGAGTCTGACGGACACTATGAGTTTTAGTCTTACTTTAGACACAAGCTAGCTCAGGGGTAGGCAACTTTGGCTCTTTTATGACTCGTGGACTTCAACTCCCAGAATTCCTGAGCCAGCCATGCTGAGGGGAAAGGGAGAGATTTCCAAGCTGAGCCATGCTGGCTCAGGAATTCTGGGAGTCATAAAAGAGCCAAGGTTGCCTACCCCTGGGCTAGCTGAATGACCTTAGGCCAGTCACTCTCTCCCAGCTTTAGGAAGAAGGGTTGTCTCCAGGCAGTCATCAGGAGTCAAAATAGATTTGAAGACACACTTTTCCTTTTTTTAATTTTTTTTTCCAATTTAAACTATTATAACCTGGGTTCATTGAAACAAAATATTAGAATTGTGTATGAGTTAATGGCTGGAATGTTATTTCTGTGGAATATTATGGACAATAATATTGTGAATGAAGGAAAATATACCTAATGTTTTACAAGCATAATATTTTATAGAGGAAACACCATAAAGAGCATGGTTTAAGCTAATAGTTGCCAAAAGCCACTTATTTTATTTTTGTTTCAGTTTAAGAGTAATTTTCTGGTTGAGGAGGCTAGACAATTTTGATGTATCAAATTCAATAACATTTAGTTCTCACGAGGCTACAAAACTACAAAACAATACCAGTTGCTTACTCAAACATGGCTCTTGGAACTATTTTGTTTTTTTTCAAATGACCCAACAATCAGACAAAATTCTCCTTGGTGCTTCTTTTCTTTCAGTCTTGCAGCTCAGTTTTATTAAATTGCTGTCTTCGTATACACAGAGTCCATTTGAGCAGCTAATAGTTTTTAGGTAGCCTGGCTAGTATTAGGACTTCTGGGAAATAATTTCCATTTGTTTGGAAGGCATATAAGTACTGAATAAGTCACAAACTGAGCCAAATGTTACATTAGAAAGATCAATCACTTAGGATTTTAAAATATCATGTAAGACGAAGAGGGGCTTTCTACTATACCTGTTCATACTTACATCTCAACATTTAGCATGTGGTCAATACACAGACCTTCCAGATCCTAGCCACTATGGAATCAAAGTCAGCTGCAGTTGTTAGGTATTCTAGTATTCCAATTTGGAAGGCGTGATCTGCATATGTTTTTTTAAAAAAAATTGCATTTGCATCTGAAATGGTTGACAAGTATGCTTTGTCATATGCATTAGATATTTAAAACCTACAATTCTCCTTTCATCTTTCGTTCTTTTGGGAGGGGATGATATATTTCACAGGTTGGGGGAGGCAAAGTATAAATGGCGAGCTTAGTTATGTTTTTCTAACAACTAGTTATGTTTTTCCAACAACTTAGTTATGTTTTTCCAACAATTCCTGCTTCTTGATGTCATACTTATGGTGGCATAGAAAGTCTTTTGGGATAAAAATGCAGTTCTGTTATAGCCAAACTCCTCAGGAGAGAAATGAAATGTAAAAAGAAAAGCAGGAGGCTAAAAAGGGGATCGGGGCCTTCTGCCCTGCCCATGAGGGTCCCAATCAGCTGAGTATCCACAAGTCTTTCCCAGAGAAAATCAAAGGAAATAGTGATATGTAATTTATCTGAGCAACTACTTTAACCCTCGGTCAAGCAGCAAAACAGGATATTTAACAAATCTCTATTGGGCTGGATTCTCAGATGCAGCTGGTGAATTACAATGACGTGCTAGAACTGGAGATGAAGTCATGCATTCAGCAAATCTGCTTGCATGGAGGAAAATAGGCGGTCAGAAATACTAAGTCCTTCTTCTTCTTTACTTCCTCTTATAAAATGGCCATTAGTGTTTTGGCCCTTTCATTACATTTGCTTTCCTCCTCTTTTTTATTATTATCACTGCATTTATATGAGGAATCCACTACATCCTATCTCAGATTAGCCTCTTTCAGGTGAAATGATCAGATTTCTCACTCATTGTTTCTCCCGGCAGGATGTTTCTCCTCGTGGGTGCTCCAAAGGCCAACACTACTCAGCCTGGGATTGTAGAAGGAGGCCAGGTGCTCAAGTGTAACTGGAATTCCAATCAAAAGTGTCAGCCCATCATATTTGATGCTAGAGGTACTGTTTAATCTTTTAAGATACGTTTTTATCCATTGAGATCTGAATAAATTGCAGAGATGAAGGCAATCTTCCACTCGTTAAATATTTGGTGCTGATGAGGAATACTTTAAACAAGTATTGCTTGCTATGACCATTTTATGGCATTGACATCAAATAATGCCATCTTTGCTGGCTAGAGGCTTTTATGGTATGAATTAAATTAGATTTGTATGATAGGCACCTAAGTGGCTGTGGACTATAGAAGGCCGTGACTCTGTTGGGTGGCATTTAAACCTGACCTGACCATTCTTGCATCCCTCTGATCTAGGGTGCTTTCTGGCAGTCATTAAAGAATCCTATAATCCCAGGAGATAAAATTTAGAAGAAATAAAGGGAATTTGTGTTATGCAAAGGAACAAGTTTAGGCCCGTGATGAAAGATTATACTGTATATGAGCCAAGTTAAAACAGATCTCCAAACCCAACCACTTATTATAGCCCGTATGAACTGATGTTGCCTGTCTGCTTGGGCTGAAGTTTCTGACAATAAATATATAACATGTATAAGCAATGTTTACTAATTGTGCATTGAATCTTTAAAGAAATGTATAAGATATTCACATTTTATGTGCCTGTGTGGGAAATACTAGCACAGTGGTGGCGAACCTATGGCACGGGTACCAGAGGCGGCACTCAGAGCCCTGTCTGTGGGCACGCATGCCATCGGCCCAGTTCTAGGCCTTCAGCTGGGTTTTATAAAACCTTTTCGCTTTAGACCTCCGCCGCCGTGTGCCAAAAAAAAAAGGTTCAATCAATCAGTCAATTTCAACTTCTCACGGGAAAAAGAAATCTTGCAAAGTTGGAATTGATTGATTGAACTTTTTAGTCCCACCCAGTCTGCCGTTACCACCGCAGCCACGGCCACCCAGTGGGCCACACCCACCCGGCACCTGACGATGTATAAGTGGTTTTGGGTTGCAGTTTGGGCACTCAGTCTCTAAAAGGTTCGCCATCACTGGTCTAGCATAACTCAGTGCATTTAATTTCCATTACCCCTTCCACCTTTATTATTATTATTAATAATAATAATAATGATGATGATAGATTATCCTTTCATTTGCATTAGTTTTCATGTGGTTAACAAAAATTAAATATAGACATTCAGAATAAAAGGAAAGAGTAATAGAAAACAGATGTAAGATGAAATAACCATGCTTCCAATGTCTAAGAGAAGGAGGAAAGGGATTTAGCCTAATTTAGAAACCAAGGATACTTGTACTAGGTGTTACCCCCGAATGTTCAAATCTTATAGTTGGAAGGACCAGTTATGTCATCATGTCCAACATTTTGTTCAGGGCAGCAATCAGGAAAAAAAAGCACCCTTAAAAAAAGGCTGTCTAGCTTTTATTTAAGCCAATTTAAAGTGACGAGTGATTGGTTCTGCTCTTCTTACTGTTAGGAAGATTTATCTATCAGTCAATCAGAATCTAACTTCTGAAATTGTTCTATAGCACATATATAATGAAATCTCCAAATTCTCTTAGTCCTTCCTCCCTACCTTAGTCAGTTTTCAAGTCTCCCACTGCTTAGAAATGGGTATGAATAGAGGAAGACTCATATAGTGTTTTAAAAAATAACAGCCATGAAATTCTATATTTTCAGGCTACATCCAATCCAGGAAAAGTACACGGATGTTTCTTCTCTCCTTAAAGAATCTAAGCCAGACTTTCCTCACCTACCCTCCCTACAAATCAAGATCTGTTTTTACTTGTTTTTGTTCAAAGGATTGCTGTTTTGGATACAGTGTTTTTCAAGCTTTCCAACCAAAATATTTGCAACTGGGAATGGAAGAATTCCTCACCCCTAGTTACTGAGTCAGAGAGATTAATGTTTTTAATACTCAAATCCATCATGAGTAGAAAAGGGGAGGGTGAGAATGTATTTTGCCTCCATTTCTAGTGCTGATGTTGCTTGGTAGAAAATGAACAGGTCAAATTTGGAGCAAAATGGCCTGCTGCAAATGGTTACGAACCAATAGCATCTTTGGGAAGGGATCAAAATCTGCAAAAAAGTGGGTGTGATATCATGATCAAAGCTGTGTTCTTTTTGTATTTGTAGCAATACTGCCACACCCTCTCTCTTGTAGATTGGGCATTTCAAAGATGGGAATAACAGCTGCTTGATTCTGAGAAATGACTTTATCCCATTTCCATTCTTGTTGGCCATCCCAAGAAAAATCAGGCTTGCTGAAAATGGATTGATTTGCCACTCAAATTCAATATCATAATCTTGGATGCTAGGTAGCCACAAATGGAGTGTTGGAAAGTAGTTGTGGCCTGCATGACATCTTCCCCTATTTATCCTGTGTGGTATAAATCTGTTGAATACAATTTATGTCCTTGACACCTCCAGTGATGGACTTGTTTGTGCTGCTGAAACCCAACTCTTGCAGCTCATTTTAAGCCAGCATGTGGAATGGCCTTTATAGATCATGTGAGGATGATTAGTAGGATTTTTTTTATGTGGACAGCCCTTTGTCTGATTTCATTTTGCTTTAAGATGTTGTGACATGATGCAGGTATTCTTAGTTGTTGGCTGAATTTACCCTGGCTTGCTTAGCTAATGTGTCTAATCTGAGGACCCAGGCTATTTTTAAGCAGGTTTGCTGGTTAGAGTATTTTAAAGTTTTATGTTGCAGCTTTATCGATTTTCTGTGGGCCAGTATTGTTGTTCTCATATACCAGCACCTGGCATCTTTTAAGTAAGAATTGTATGTTGTTAAAAGGAATAAAAACTCTCCTTATTTTAATATCCCTCCCTTAGGTTTTTGGATTGTTCCTTTTCTACCTCAGGTCTATAAGTCTAATGCTGGGTCTCTGGCTGAAGCAGTTCATGCCAGCCTCCTCCACACTCTGGAGAACATGCATTTATTTTTGAACACAGGCTCTCATCTCATGACATAGAAAGAGGTCCAACAGGCTTTTCATCCAGTCTCAACTTATGGAGTTGTCAGACAGTGAGTAATATCCGTGCATTAGTCAAGCTGTAGCTTGTTTTATATGTGAATGGGAAGAGATTGTTTAGGACTAGGAGTGACATGATAAAAGTGTTCCAATATCTAAGGGGCTGCCACAAACAAGAGTGGGTCAACCTATTTTCCAAAGCACCTGAATGCAGTACAAGAACCAATAGATGGAAAATAATCAAGGAGAGAAGCAACCTAGATCTAAGGAGAAATTTCCTAACAGTTAGAACAATTAATCAGTGGAACAACCTGCCTCCAGAAATTATAGGTGCTCCAACACTGGAGGTTTTTAAGAAGAAATTGGAGAACCATTTGTCTGAAATGGAATAGGGTTTCCTGTTTGAGCAGGGGGGTGGACTAGAAGACCTCCAAGGTCCCTTCCAATTCTATTATTCTGTTCTGTTCTCTTATACATACTATGGAGAGCAGTAAAAGTGGCTTTCAGCAGTCTTAGGTGTCTAACTCTTCCTTGCCTCCTAAAGACATAGAAATTCAGAATTCATTGGGGGCATCCAACTTGGAACTAATACAGTGGTTCTCAACCTTTTTAATGCCGCGACCCCCAACCGGTCGTAAGTCGAGGACTAAACCGGTCATAAGTCAAGGACTAAACCAGTCGTAAGTCGAGGACTACCCAACCGGTCGTAAGTCGAGGACTTTCCCTGCCCGGGAGCACCGCGCATGCGTGGTTCCGCCCCCTGCGCCGGCCGAGGCGTAGCTGGCAAGCGGCAGAGACGGAGCAGGCTGACCACCAGCTGGCCCAGCCCAAGGGAGGTAAGGCACCCGCCAGAAAAGGGGGGAAAAAATGGCAGACAGCCTTGCTTGGCGACCCCCGTGAAATGGTTGATCGACCCCAAATGGGGTCCCAACCCATAGGTTGAGAACCACTGAACTAGTACATACGTTCCTAACCTTTAAATGGTGTCATCACCATATTTTGGGAACCAAATGGTTACTTTTGGAAATATTTTTGTTTTGTTTTGCCACTTTTACCAAAAATCCTGGCTAATAAGAGATATTTTAAACTTTTTCAAGGCGAAATATCTATTTTACCCATTAATATCTACCTTCCCCTAACCTGGATGATCCTAGAATGCTGTTGGCATTGACGTCACCACATCATCAGAAGTATTCCCAGAGCCAGGAAAAAGAAAATTAAAGTAAATTTTCTTCATTATTTCTTTTTAAAATCAAATAAATAAGTATCCCTGATTTAGAATATGTTTTAGCATTTCCATAGTCTTTTTTTTTTTTTCAAATAAATGTTTCAGTTGAAATTTTGTCCTTTCTGTTCATAGCAATGTATTATTTGGGTTAAATTAAAAAATGCCTTATTCCGTCTATTATTTTCCAAAATGAATATGCAGAAATACAGAATGGATTCCCCCTTACCTTCCTCTTTAAATTGCATAACATAAAGCTATGTCACCTGGCATATCAATGTTAACATCCACTCCCTTCCAAAAAAAGAATTGGTTAAGTTCACATGTTGCCCTAAGCTATAATGTAGTTGGCTGGTCTGGGGGATTATATACGAGGGCCAGTTTAAAGAAATTGCAGGGCGCAGTGCTAAACCAATTTCAAGGACTATCTGATACACATACTCCTAGATTAACACTGCAGAATATATTCATACTATGATTGCACTAGCACTGGCACTCCTTAGTGCTTCACAGGACTCTCTAAACGGTTTACAGAGTCAGCTTATTACCCCGACAACCTGGGTCCTCACTTTACTGACCTCAGAAGGATGGAAAGCTGAGTCAACCTTGAGCCCGTCAGGATCAAACTCCCGGCAGTGGGCAGAGTTAGTCTGCAACACTGCATTCTAACCATGGCGCCACCAAGGTATTGTATATTGTGTATATAAAACGGAATACTGAGATAACTTAGCTAAAAGGTACATAGGGAAAGAATCAAAATCTAAATATAGATTACTTTTTATTTTTAAAAAAAATCAAATTATCCTTTTTTTTTAAAGAGAGACAGACATT